AAAAAAAAAAAAGAAATGGGAGAGCTAGAATTTGTTGAGCACCTACACTGTGCTTGCTATTTTCACATGTCTCATTAACCCTCACAACCACCTATAAATGAGACATTATAATCCCCGTTCTGTGGATAAGGAAACTGAAGCTCACAGACCTTAAGTTGCAAAAAAAAAAAAAAAAAAAACTGGATACTAAGAGCCAGACCCAGAACTGCCCTGGGTCTACTGGGATCCTTCAAAACACAGCTAAAGATCAGCATGAATAAACTTACTTTAATTGTCTGTGATTGTAAGCTTCTTTGACCACTCTAGAGAAAATGTGATTGATGAAGTCTCACTTTTCCTTAGAAGTTTCACATAGCTGTCCTTCTCTGGAGAGTTGAGCACAGTATGTCATGGAAAGCAGACCAATTGCCAATACTCCTCATGGAAAGGCAGCCCCCAAATCCATATCCATGCAAATTTCGTTATCAGCTGGTTGCGAATATTAAGCAATTGCTTTTCAAAAGGAATTGAAAGTAAACTGTCCTGATTTGGTAGCTCAAATCTCATTCTTCAAAAAACTAAGAGCATGTTAGGAGCCTGTCCTCATTCCTGCTCAACTTATTCCTACAGGGAATTAGGACCAGGAATTCTTTCCCCTGTTTCACATCTAGAAAAATGGCCAAAAGAGCAAAAGAGGCCTGCTCCCTGTCCTGGAAGGAGCAAGGCCAAGGTACCTGGCTCTTGGCCTTGCTCCAAACCTAGCAGATCCCTGGCATCTTCCCACACTGACCCCCAAGCAGCCCAAACCCTCCACTCTGGGCTTTGCCTCACCTGGTCAATGAAGGAGACGAACTTGTTGTTGAGAGTCTTGATCTGCTCACGCTCCTGGGCCTTCCCTTCCCCGACATGGGGGTCAGTCTCCACACTGAGGGGCTGCAGGAAGCTCTGGTTAACAGTTACTTCCTGGATTCCTCCAGAGAAGCTTCCAGGGCCAAAGCCACCAAGACCCAAAACCTCCAGCTGCCCCAAAATTACCAGCTCCCCCAAACTCACCTCCCATTGCTCTACCAAACCTCCCCCATATCCACCCCCAAATCTACCTCTATAGCCACCACCCAAGCCACTGGCACAGATGCTACATCCTCCACCAAAGCCACCAGCCCTTGAGTCCCCAGCTGCCACACTGAAGGAGATACTCTTGTTGCCACTTAGGTTGTAGAGGCTACGACTGCCAAAGCCACCTGCTGCGCCCCGGAACCCAGAGGCCCCACCACCGGCTGCCCTGGAGCTAGCCACACCGCTCATCCTGCTGCTGCCGGACACCACGGCCGAGTGGCCAGAGAAGCCCTGGCTCCCGCTGCTGAAGGATTCTTGCCAGCTTGTCTGCTCATGGCGAGGAGCTTAGACATGAGCTAGAGATCACTTATCAAGAGCTAAGGTGTGAACACAGAGGCTGAGCACAGGGGACACTG